AGTAGTTTGAACACTTTCAACAACCCTTTCAACCCTTTTTTATCTTTTCTTTTTTTTTTTTTTTTTATCAATTTGAAACTGTATCACGTCTGCGGCACCGTTTCTACTTTCGACTGACTGTATAAACAATAGGGGATGTATGGATGAGTCGACGTCGTCTATCACCCTTAGGTTTATTCACCCTAAAACAGCACATATGCGTCACCCTAAGGCACGAAGAGAGTCCTTTTTCGAACGAGGCGTGACTGGTTGGTTGGTTGGTTGGTTGGTTGGGTATCCTTTAAAATACACACTCACCAAACGTTTTCTACATGCACACACACAATTTTTCCCTTCTTCAGTTTGCCACCAATGAAAGACCAATGAAAAAAGAGAGAGAGAGAGAGAGAGAGAGAGAGGTATGGTCTATTCATTCCCTTCTCTTTTTTTTTTTTTTATATACTTTTTATCTATCCATCTTTGCACTTATCCACGTTTCACGAAGTTTAACGTTTCACCCTTCTTCCTCCTACCCCATTCCCAAACTTCCCCCTCCCCCCCGACATCTTAGCAAACGTTGCTACTGTACAAACATTTTGTGTTTGCACGAAAATCTACGATTTACGCAAACGTCTGTAGTCTTCGTTTTTTTTTTTTGGTTTTTTTTTTTTAAATAATAAAAAGAATTTCTTACGGTTAACCTGGATTCTCACGTACATCCATTTTCTTCTTCTTCTTCTTCTTCTTCTTCTTGTTTTTTTTTTTTCTTATTATTCTATTGGATATTTTCAAAGTTCTTCTTTTGCTTCTTTTTTTTCTTTTTTTAATTATTTAAAACAATCACTTACATTTAAAATCATAATTCATCCGACACATGTTTTGTTAACGATTTATTTAGAAGTATTAATAAATAAATAAAATGATTAATATTACTTAGTGAATATTAAAATCCTCTAATTAGGTTACAAGTCATAGGAACAATTCCTCCTACCCTCTTGCGAATATAAATTCACATGTGAGTTGAGTCACATGATTCATATGAGTCAATTCTTTCGTTTAACATAGACACTTTTTTTATTTTATTACAAAAAGGAAAAGAAAGGGGGTTCTTCTTTCTTTTTTTTTTTTTGCAATAACGAAAGAACACACGAAGAGTCGTACGAATCTGATGTGAAACGTTTTTTTTTTTTTTTTTTTAACTTAATCTTTACTTTTATCAAAGCCATACTAAGTTAGTTCTTTGCATTGGTAATAAAAATTCGTATGAGTTTGAAAAAAAAAAAAAATGGAAAAAGTATTTAAAAAACGATTCTATCGTTTCACGTGAATTTCCACGATTTTTTTTTTTCTATTATTCCCTTTTTTTTTTCTATCTATTTTCCTCAGAGCACTGCTGTGTGTCACATCCACGTTTTCTATCGGATTTCAAATTCTCATTCTCTTCCGCCCCCCTCTACTTTTTTTTTGGCGTGGGAAATGGTCCTGTCGAGAATTAAAAAAA